TAGTAGTAACAAGAAGCTAGTAGTAACAAGTGCCTTACTAGTAGTAACAAGAAGCTAGTAGTAACAAGTGCCTTACTAGTAGTAACAAGAAGCTAGTAGTAACAAGTGCCTTACTAGTAGTAACAAGAAGCTAGTAGTAACAAGTGCCACGCTACTAGTAACACCTTGAGAATCAACCCTTCCGTCTTTCCATCACGTCCCACTCAGTGCGATTCGGTCGGCCACGGCTCCTCGGAGAGGTTTCCCAAGGGGCTTTCCCATCCCTGCTCCTGTGAGGATCAGCCGAACAAAATGGAACACATGCCACATTCCGGAAGTGCAACATGTCTCTATGCTTGATCAAAACCAAAAACCACTGAACTCTGCATTGCGCATTTTTGTCTGCAACACTGCTAAATATCAAAGTAGTGTGAAACGGATCTCGAAATTTCTGGAACATTCGTTTGAGAATACATCGTTTGCTTCCGCTCTTCGGTCACGTCTTCCCGTTCCGGTTCCCACCATCCCGTCTCCTCGCCCGCTTCGCGTGACGGTGGCCGCGGCATCGTTCCGTGGGAACCGCACAGAAATGGCCACCGTCGAATCAGTGATGCCCCGTTCGTAGCGTCCTCTTGCTCCGTTCGTAGCGAGGCCAGGAGCCCCTAGTAGTCCTTGTTTGAGGCTTGTTTTGCTTTGGACTTGGGTTGTTGGGGAGGCCATTGAAAAAAGATTGCTTGCTTCTGGTCTTTCAAGCTTAAGGTCGGTGGTCTGCACTTCTCGGGCTATGAACATCTGCTTGGAATTCCCCCAAATCCTTGCGATGCATGGCGGCTAGCTCCATGTGGTCTTTCTTCCCCTAAGGCGTTTCACTTGAGCATTGGACCACGGGTGAGCGACTTCACCTTCGCACATGGACGATCCCACCAACTGCTGGCACCTCTTTCAACACATCCTGATGATTACGATGTGGGAGGCCATCGACCATGCTACGCCGCACTTCACTCCTTCCAATAATTTTACCAAGAAGAGCTTCACGATCGTCAAAGACATCATCGTGTTTTCCATGAGTGACCTTACACATTGTAGTCGTCCCATATTACGAGCCCTGATCTTGAAGGAAGCATGCGCGTCTCTGTCTATGTCTTTTGCCTAAGACGTACTCAAACTGTGCAGTTTCATCAGCTCATGTGTTGACTGGGAGGCGGATAAACATACTGTTTAGAGGTGTCTCTAGAGTAAAGGAACTCAACCACGCCACTGGCAGACTGGTATGTCCAAGCGACACATCATTGGAGTGATTCTGATGCCTAGATTTGCTGAACATGCACCAGGGTCCAAATCCACGATAAGATACATTCATAGAGTAGGTCGGAGGCCATCGCTCTTGGGTTGGAGGCCATCGCTAGTAGGTTAGGCTAGTAGCTTCTTGCTCCTAGCAATAAGGCCAGGAGCCCCTAGCAGCGTCCTTGCTCCCAGTAGCGATGCCAGGAGCCCCTAGTAGCGTCCTTGCTCCTAGTAGTACGGCCAGGAGCCCCTAGTAGCTTCTTGTTACTAGTTGCTTTCGAGGTGCCCACCGGTTCATACGAGACCAAACACCCGGCTCCTCTTATCGCTCGTCTCCGTTCCCAGGGTTCGCCGAGGAACGCTTCGCCGATGCTGCGGCACGTGGTTGCCTCCAACGGTTTTGGTTTAGAGCTTCCAATGGAAAAAACAACAAAACCAAAGCAAAAAAGATAAAAGGATTATGTCCAAAGATAAAAGGAAACAAACGACAAACGACCACTTCAACCACCAAGACCACTTTCTTGCTCGACCATGTGCTCGGTTCGTCTTTGCCTCAGGTGGCAAGCCCAGGTGGTCTGAAAGCACCGGGGCCTCAGTGCTCAAACAAAGGGACAGCAACGCCAATCCTCAGAGAACTCTCTCATAGCCATGGCGCCATGGCCTCCAACCTAAAAGGGGTCTTTTTCTTTACGGAACTACAAAACATATGCTTCTCATCGGCGCAAAACTCGTCGAAGGCAACTTGCTTAGACGGTGGTGGTGGGAACTGCACTTGACTGACAAATACAAAGCACATGTTTGGAGGGCAGTCCCGACTTTCTACATTTGTTGCAAAAGAGAAGATTGCTTCAAGTGTCGCTACCCAAAGCACTGGCTGGGTGTCCCACCAGCTCCTCATCCTCTAAGCATTGGACCTCAAAGTCAAGTTGCATGCTGGGGCCATGACAGCAAAAATAGAAGCGCCCCAAAGAGAGCTGCACCCACAAAGGAACCCTTCAAAATGTAATTCACCAAAAAGCCGAAGGAAGGAAGAGGAAGAGGACAAGGAAAAGGAAAAACTTCTCCACTTCTTTAGTCTTGAAGTGGCTATAGCAATTTGCAAATGTTTCTCCCTCACTTCTCAGCACAACCGTTCAGCGATGCTGATTTGGCTCTTGGTGGAACTGGGCTGAGCAGCTTGAGACTTGGTTATTCAAGCATGCGGCATGGGCGACTCAGAGTGAAACTTTAAAGCAATAGCCTCCAACCTACTGGCGATGGCCTCCAACCTCCTTCCAAAAAAATAGTCACGTGAAAAGGACCATCGTCCATCTTGGTTGAGGGGTTAAGTGGAGAGATTGTAAATCCTGACGATGGTCATCAGAGTCCAGTGTGTGCAGCCATGACACGTAGTCGCTGGGCAGCCGCAAGAGCCTGTCATAGAAGCTGCCACTGCTGGCCAGAATAGAGTGCTGTCTTTTATGCGGGCGGTTGATGACATCCGTTTCCGCTAGTAGTGGCTGCCACTCGAAATGGGACAGGCTCTACAACCCCACACACAAATACCTCCCTGCGGGTCAACATTCGGCAACGTAGAACCTCCAAACTCTGCCCAGGGACGCTCCCCTCACTAGTTCATGAGGTTCTAACCTGCCCACCCCACTGCCCACCACCCCAGAGAGTGAAAAAAATACAAAATGTGGGAAACCCTTGTTAAGGGTGGATTAGAGACTTAATTGACCTCTAATCAGGCCCAATTAAGAAACCCTTATTTTCAACACCTACTCAGCAGACTTAGGCCACTATTAGGGGCCAACTGACCCAACTTGCTTATTTTGGCCTTGTCTGTTTTCAACATAAAAACCGTTGTGAATTTTATGTTGTTTCCGCGATCATCCCTAATAAGCGCATATTTCAAAATTCATGTCGATTGGACGAAATCGCATCGAAAGGGATGTGTTGACCTCAAAAATTGCAAAACTTTACGGAGAAACAGGTCGATTCGCCAGTCGATCTGGGAGTCAACCGTGTTTTGGCCTCATGTCCATTTCACTTGAATCAACCCCACCTAAAACATCATTAGTCAGTCATTTGTTTACAGCTGACTGACCCCATTCCAAAACCCTGTGATGTGACACGGGATTCCAGCTGTCCACCCCTCGAAATGCCTTCATTTAACCACTCCGCCAGTGTTTGCTTTTTGCAAACTTGTAGGTATGTGATGAAAAGCAAATGAATTGAGAACCGTGGCCATCAATGGTGGCCAAGGCAAGTTGCTTGGCAATTTGCCTCATTTGATCTCATTTGTCCAACTTCTCACAATAGTTCTTGAGCTCTTCTTGAGAAGGCCTCCATGCGAAACACAAACAGAACAGGAACCACAGTGTTCAAAGATGTTGCTGCAAGTCTAAAAATTCTGAGATGTCTTGCTTATAGTTGTTTCTAAACCCACAGCGGAGAGTCCAAAAAGCGATCACTAAACTTTGCCCCGGTAAAGGCATCAACGTGGGGCAAAACAAAGCCAAAACAAAGCCCAAATAAGGACTACTTGAGGCCTAAGAAAAGTAACCTCACAAGTGAAAGACTGACTGAACCGTCAAGCGAAAGCTGGAGTAGATACCGGGGTACTACAATAAAAGCCTCTCGCTTTCGCTTCTCCCCCACCAATGTATATTTAAATATATTGTTTCCTTAGCATTGGAACACTGCATCCAAAGCACACGACAAATTGCTTCTTTGGATTGCGTCGGTTCCAGTGGCCATATACCCACTGAAGCACGTCATGCAGGGCGTCCACCTTGCTATGGTTCCGCGTTGTGCCCCACTTTCTTGTGCAACTTTGAGTCAAATGAGCTTCATCCTCTCCTCGGCAAAAAAAACATTTAAGAACCACTGCTGGACCAAGGACAATTGTACTCCGGGTTTCTTGATTGGGCCTTGTTTGAGGTCAATTAAGGCCTTAGTCTACCTGCATCAAGGATTTCGCACATGTTCCCCACACCTTGGTGTCAGTGCAACAAGCAAGTTTTGGCAGTGGGGTGGTCACCTTTAGACGCACCGACGCACCTACTTAAAATTGATCTTCCATGATTTGACACATTTCAATCTCAGACTGAGGAATGTCTTCGAACACCATTGAACCGTTGATTTGACATGGAAAAATAACTATAATTCGAGTCGGGGCGCGGGGAAAGCGCACCCGAAAATACTGAAGGACGGGGTGAAATTCGATTGTAAATTCATCCTTCAGCTCGCCACGCCCTGGCAGGAGCTTGTGCAAATCTCCAGGAGTCAAACCCCAATTGCGGGCTTGTTCTTCTTTCTTTCTCTCTTTCCGTTCTGCCGCTGCAGCATTCTTAAGACGCTCCAATAGTATTTCCTGTTCTTGCTCCTCTTCACCCTTTGGTTCCTTGTCTTGTTCCTTCGATGTTTTCTGCTTCTTTTCTGCTTGGTCTGCTCTCTCTTTGTTCGCACCCTTCTCCATCAACATATTTTGGAGTTCTTCTGTCGCAACTTTCTTCATTCGCAGGAAGTCTCTATCTACAGCGTTTTCTCCGTCAAGAGTGCTCAAGATCTGTAGGATGGAAGGATCGTACGTGCGCTTCCCACCAACGAGTCCTGGGCTCAACAGCGCACCCGTGCTTTATTCATAGTGTCACTGACCTTAACACAAGCCAAATTAGGCCCAATTAAGCCTCAAACAAGGTTGAAATTGCATGGGAAGGTCGTTCCTGACAAACTAGTGTGTAGAACTCCGTGCCAGCAAACTTGGCACCAGACCATTTAGATACCATTATATACCCCACCTGCGGAAAACTCACCTTATGTCGACTGAGATTCCCTGATTAAGTGCAAAACAGCTGTCAATAAAGCCCGTTGTTGAAAAGTAACACAGGACACATCTTCTTCCAACACCAAGTGACCATTGACCATTCTAGCCTTCTCCTTCTCAGTGTCATCACCAAAAAGGTGATTGACTAATGCTTTCGCGTAGTCTGGTTTGGTGAATCCACCTTTCTTGCCAGAACCTCTGCCAGGCATCTGACACCCCAAAAGCTTGCGTATTTTTTGGAGAACACGAGCCACCATGAAGCCAGCAGCTTTGACCGCGGCATGGACCAACCCCGAGTACCCCGTCACTTGATGGAAGGACGCAACCATTCGCCCATCAATACCACCTTGAAGCTCCTCAGGAATACAAGAAGGCGGCCACAGCATCGTCTCAACAGCTTTCCAATTAGCAAGGTCCTCGTCGACAGTGTAGTTGAAAAGAAAATATGGCTCGGAGCACTGTGAATCCAACGTCAAGAACTCCTGACACCAAAGTTCATTGTTTTCAACATCTTGTTTTCAGTCTGCGCGAACCACAGGAAAGCCATCAGGCCACAGCCCATTAAATTAGTTGTTTGTAATTAGCCCCCAGCCTTGTCATCCACTTCAACTCGCTTGAGGCGCAAAGCTGCTGCGCAGTATTTCTGGAAGCCCATACATATGACAAAGGTGTCCCTCCCCTTGTGCTTGTACATTCTTCCTGTCACGAACAGGCAGCCTGCCAGAAACACCAAGTGCAGATGGCCAAAAACTTAATGTCGATGCGGCTAATTATTATTGCCAACACAGGCCTGAATGAAGCGTTTGTGAATTAGTGCCCTGATAAGGCCTAATTAAGGCCTACTGAAGCAGCACACACACAAAAAAAGAATCATTTCCCGTCCATTCCCTACGCCTAGCTCTGTATGGGGCAAATTGGAAAAGCCAGCATCTGCATCAGCCAGAGCATAGACCAAGGCTGCTGCGGAAACCATATCAGAAGCCGGGCCAGCGTTGGCAATCTTATCCTTCAGGATGTCATTTGCCCGCTGTGGAAACCGCGGGTCATCTGGAGAGATCTCTGGCAGTGGCGTCCCCTTGACGTTCAGCACAGCATTGAATGCCTCCACCTCCTCTGCTGCAGAAAGCTGGTAGCGAAGCCATGCCTCCGCAGGTGGGAAGCTTTGCGGACACTCTTCTTTAGTGTAGGGCGCGTTCTTGTTGTGCCGCATAGCAACGTCCGTCAAGTGGGCAAAGACAGACTCTAAATTCGACTTTGTGCTGGCTGTTCCGAGCTTAACATCTGTAAGGATCTGGTTCAAATTTTGGTTGTTGAAATCGTAATCACACTGCGCAATTTCTGCAAATATCTCCAGCACTAGCGTCTCTCGATGCCACCCAATGTCATTCAACAAAGTGGTTTCAAGCTTGCGGGACTTCGAAGAGAGTGACAACACAGTGTCCAAGATTCTTTTCAAGCCTGTCATCGTGGCGTGTCTCTCTTCTTCAGAGCGGGAAAGCAAGGGCACTGCAGCCCCTGGCATTCCAAACTTGTGGATCAGGTTACGCCAGATCAGCCCAGAAGCCAGCTGGCACCCAAAAGTGAAAGCTGATTCCAGAAACGACCTCTCTTCCTAGCAGTGGGCCCGCAAGGCAAAACACAATTCAACAATTTTTGATAATATTTGACTTATTTGGGTTCTAATTTGGCTCAAAATGGACCAAAAACAAGCACCAGCCACAAGAACATATACCAAAGAACTGAGTTGAGGATCTGATACCCATTGAACATGAACATTGGCATCCATTGGTGGCTTGCAAAAACCCACCATGTTCACTTTATTCACAAGCTCATATGACAACGCTTTGGCGATGAGATCAACCGCAGTTTGGCACCAGGGGCGACCACTGGCTCTTTCAACGCTCCACTGCAACATGGACTCAAACCCGCCTTTTTGGGCTTTGAGGTCTGATACATATTTGTTCTCCAAAGGATCTGCTACTTCTGTGATCAGCACCGCTGCGTCACGCAGACTGCGGTCCATCATAAACTCAGTGAACATAGCTATAGGAGTTTTCCCAGCGTACATTTTGTACAGCTCGGATTTCGTCGCTGCCTTCTGCTTTGGTTTCTCTCGGTCCTCTCCTTCTGCAATGGATGATTCCTCATCATCCTCGTCGTTCTCACTCTCATCGGGATCACCCTGCTCCTGAGGTTTCTGACAAGTTACTAGAAAGGACCAATCCACAGTGTTATTCAATCAAAGCCCAATTAAGGCCCACTCAAGAACCAAACCCCACTCCCCACCTAGCTGGAGTTACCTGCTTCTGCGGAATTCCACACAATCACCGCAAACAAAAACGAGGTTCTTGCGGGCTGGGCGTGTAAAAACAAAAGGTTTGCTGTCTCCTGCGCTGCCAGCATGGCTGTACCAGCCGCTGCCAACACCGCCCAGTCCCGCACAAGTGCTCGGAGGCTTGCATTGAGTCCGAACCAAGCTTTAGATCTGACCTGGCCACGGAACAGCGGGGCAAATTGTGGTAGCGAAGCTTTTTCACAAAGGGATTTGGGATTAGTATGAATTTTAGTTTAAACTCATGATCTTCAAAGAACATCACGGTTGGGTGTGTGATTACAACATTAAAAAGGTTCTACTGGGCCGTGAAAACCTTTCATCCAGTAGAGCCGAAATAGTCTTAAATGCAGGCAAAGCCACATACCGTCCTTTGCTCGCAATAGATCGGGAAGAAATAACGTCTTCCAGAAGCTCGAGAGGACTGTTTTCCTCTCGTTGGAACCCACGGTCCTCTGCCAGATCTTCGCAAAACGTTTGCCACCAGTCAGAGTCCTGCTTTTTGAGAAAATCACTGAGGCACTCTTTCATTTTGATGCGCTTGTCTCCTGAGCGGAATGCACCATGGGCAAAGTTACAGGCAATTGTAAGCTTTAATTTGCAAGTTTGTAAGTCGCTTCCATCTGCCAAGTCCACCTTCATCAACGCATTCTTGAAGCAATTCCATAGGCTGTGGGCCAAATCACCTTCAAGCTCCCCTCGCACTTTGAGGGTTCTGAATATGTAGCGCCAAGCTTTGGTTTGGGACGTCTCTTGATCCTCCACCTTTGCCATCAAGGGGCCGAGCAGGACAAAACATGCTTAAACAAGGCTTAAACAAGGCCTATATAGGGATCACAGGTCTTTCATCAATTTGGATTCAATCGAGGAGCTACTCTCAAAAGGCTCCGATGGTGCACAGGATCCAGCGTCACAGACCTAAGGTTTTGCAAAGTTGCCAGGCTGTCAACACTCGGAATAAAGTCCTTGAGGCTTTTGTCCGTCATCTTCACCAACGTGTGGTTGATGAGCTTCAAGACGTTCTCGGTAATCACTTCAGTCAGGCTTGTAACAAGGCTATTTGTTTTCAGACGTGCTTTTTAAATGTGTTTTCTTTTCTTTGTTTGTTCCTTCTGTCTCTCTCTCTCTCTCTCTGTGTCCCAGCTTCCAGTTTTAAAAAACATCCAAGAATCTACATCGAAGCATATGTGTGGATTTTAGCTGTTCACTGAGTCACTGAGGGCTTGGCAAAGAAGCCTTTCCCCTCTCGCTTACTGAGCTTTGGCCTTTGGCACCCGGGGGTTTGGAATTATGTTTCATGGACATGCAGTTTAATGAACACAGCATTTTTGCCGCTCCTCATAACTGACGTCCCATCAAGGACTTCTTGCATCAAGGCCGGCGCAGCCTTGGCTTGACAAGCTCTAAATAAGCCCTAAATAGTGCTCTAATTAGGTGTGTGCTTTCAAAACCTTTCACCAGTTTGTTACACAGGTGTTCAATAACAACCTAAGGCCATGGCAATCACTGGTGCATAGAAACCCGTCTTCAACCGTGGAGACCACAGAAATATCAATTCAGACGGGTACCCGCCCACGGATGATCCATCCATGTACCAGTGTATGGCATTAGCGTTGCCAATGGTGTTCTTTGCGTGCCTGTAGTATACGTACATAGCGTTGAATGCGGTTTTCTTCGACACATTCACAAGGTGCTGCTTCCCATTGTTCATTCGAGGCAAGAGCTTCAAAGCTGCCTTTGACACAAACATTTCCTGCGCGCTGATTTTGCAGAGCCCCCTAAACCCATTATATATAATTTTCACCAGGACATGTTCACGCCTGCTGTGCTGTAGTACAGTGAATGGTTTATGCTTCAAAAAGATATTATAGAACCCAGACCCAAACGCCCAGCCAACTCAAAACACCTCTCCTTTCCAGACCAGACTTCCTCCGCAATCATGCGTTTCTGCTGAAGAGTGACTGATGTGGGAGATTTCTTGTAAAGAGATGCCCTGCATTCTGAGAGTTGGCTGGCCAATGTAAGAATCTCTGAGTCCAAACAGTACGCAAACTGGCTGAGCAAACTGAGGGCATTCGGCCGCAGCAACTGTTGCAACCACTTCTCGTGGGCTGGGTCCACACTGAAAGCCAGCCACTCTTGGAACGAAGCCTGGTTAAAATGATTGTAGACCCACTCCTTCTTCTCACAGCGGAGATCCTCTTCCCAAACCATGGCAATCGAATCCCTCACTTCCTCAGTAAAAAGCGGCCCCATGTCAACCTGCATGTTTTGACCAACCTTGAAGGTGACAAATGGTTCTTGTCTGGGATCTGTGGATCCTTGAATCTGCCTGAATGTGAAAGTGATACTGCCCACTGAGGAGACCAGCTTTTGAACTAGCCCTTGCAAAGTCCGAACTGCAACAACTCGGTCGCCCAGCTGTCGCTTTGAATGTCCCGCTGCAAAGAGAATGTAGGCCACAAACATGGATGTGGTCATTGTGCTTTCTGGAAAGAACACAGCTTGGCCATTTCCTGTTGCCGGTTGCCGGCATCTTTGATATTTGGAAATCATTGGTTTGATCGAAACTCCAGGCCATAGGTCACGATGATAGTTCTTAACCGTCTCTAGGCTTTTGCGAAAATTTTCCACGGCCTTCTTTGTATCGCTGGTTCGGTGTAAGCACGGAGCGGCTGATTTGACCACCCACTCGTTTTGTAACTCCTCTGTTGAGTGGTACACCATCAAATCTTTTCCTCCAACCTAGACCACAAGCAATTTGTCAAATGAGTGGCCCACATCGTAAGCTTCCTCACCTATCGATGCACCGTCATTGTCTGAAGCACTGTCTTCATGGGGAAAGGCAAGGGCCATTGCTCAGGAAAAGGATTGCAACATATTGCAACAAGAAAGGTCTGAAAAAGGTGAGAGCCTTGCAAGGGATAGTCCTTGTCCTATTTGCAGTGTTGTTTGAGAAAAGGACATAGTCAGAGCATACTTTGGAGTATGGTCAGTGGTTCAGGTTCGCGGCTTAATTATGGCTAGATTTGGCTTAATCAGGGCTGTTCTTGGCTCAATTGGCAATGGCTTGTGAAACGCACACCTGACTGAGGTCCCATGCCTGCTGATTCAGTCCCTAGTCAAACAACAGGTTTGCGCATCACTGCACACAATTGAACAGTACCAAAGCCTACCAAAGCCCTGGTCCGTCAACAAAATACAGCGGTATCAGCACCTGTTCTGACTTGCCAACTCGAGTGTGAAGTCAGTCGCTCAAAGAACGCTTCCACAAAACAGTTCTGCTTTCCAAACGTCACGCGTGAGAATCACAGGAATCACCCACAATAAAACAACATCCTGGCACAGGAAGCGTCGAGTTGAGCAACGAGCAAGGCTGACTTTTCAACGACAATTAGACGGTCGGTCTCTGCCGTGTCGTTTCGGAACCACAGAAACACCGTGATTGCGTGTGAATTAAATGAAATGTATTGCAATCAATCTGGAACTGCCCTTAAATAGTGCAGCCATTTGGTTGGGCTTCACTCCAAAGCTTGTAGCTTCGGCTGCAGGAATGAATCGCACTTGTGTGATTTCTTTTCTCATTTCAGTATTGGGTCGGTAGCCTCAATTCCACAATCTGCATGATTTTGGTTAAAACAGCAGCACAAGCTAATGATTCGGCTGAGGAACCCAAAGTAAATTGGCAATGCGTGGCCCCCTCTAGTCTTGCCAGCCAGTATTGTGAGGCTGCGCGAAGTTCACAGGTTTTGCGACCAATCCGGATCTCATCATAGAATTGTTTTTTCAACGGGATGTAGACGACTTTCGAAGTTGGATTGTTTTCATCCTGGCACGTCGTTCTGGCCTAATTAAGGTCCACCTAAGGCACACCTAAGGAATTACATCTATCACCCCGAAGTCTTACATAAGTTCCGCCAACACCAAAATGTGACCGATCCGTTTGAAAGAATCCTACCGTCCGCCCTCAGATAGCATCTCCTGCCCCGAAAAATGCTCAGAGCACAGGCTCAGGAGTGACAGAAAACTCGGGGAAGCACCGTCAGAAACTTCCCAAAACGTACCATGTTCAGTGCTTGCCCTAACTGTAACTTGACAATAGTGTCCATGTCAGTCAGTCACCCTACAGCGTCAAGTTTGTGAGACATCGGAAAGCGTGCAAGCAACAGTGTGTGCCCATGTGCCTCCTTTGCCTCCTCTGCCTCCTGGTTATTGTCATTACCAGAAGAGCGTTTCTCCTGGTCAGTCAGAATCATGCAACCGAGACCTTTTTGGTATCGTTTTTCGTACGCCCTTGAACAACCATCAGGGATTAAGGGCGACAATTGGTGTTGTTTTGTCAAAGTCCGAATATTTCCCTTGGATTCGGCTCCTCCTCATCAGCATCAGCAGTCTTTTGCGCCACCTCGGCAAACTTGTCATGGTCATTCTCATCCTCGCCAGTTTCCGCAAGACCCTGGGGTCGGAGCCAAATGTGGATAACCCACACACACACTATATATATATTATATATATAGTCCTGATTAGTACGGTGTTCTGAAAGTTGTACGGCTAATTAAGGACAAAGTAAGGCTTAGTTAAGACAGATCACAAAATCAGAAACAAACACACAACAAAAAACATGGAAGGTTCTAGTTTGACCCACTAAATGACTGGAAGCTAGCAGAACGTTAGCAAAGCGGAGGCTGAAGGCTCGTGTGAATCTAGCAAGAAGAAAGTATACCTGACAGCAAACATATATTTGGTTACATTGTTGTTGTTATTGCTTTGGGCCAGGACCCTCCTAAACATGCACAGTCAGGCCCAAATAAGGCCTACTTAAGGTTTAAATGCATGTTCTTCTCTAAAAAATGATCCGAAGATTTGCTGGCCTCCGCCTTCGGAGCTGACTCCTAATCAAAGCACAAAGTTCAGATCGACACTGCTAGACTGGCTGCAAGCCTGATCATTTGTACTTTTCTTTGATTGAATCAGCTGAGTTAAGCAGATCATAGGGTAAACACATATCACAGTTTCTTGGGGCAGTCCTGTGGCTGTGGATCCTCATCAACTTCAATCATTGGCATACTGGAATCATCACGCGGCGCTTGCTCCAGTACATTTTGCCTTACAACACAGGGTGTCGCACCATGCGATTGTACATGATTGCGCTTAAAAGACAGTAGCCCCAAAAAGATCACTTGGCATTTGGGGGGCTATTTACTTGGATATCTAATTTGATCGAGCAGCTCCAAAGGCATAGCCTTGGTGGACTTTTGGAACATAGTCTCGATGCAGCGTGGAGTTAGTCCCTCCTTGTGCATGTAGTAGCGCACGCCGCTCTCCACCACACGCCTTGCAACCTCCCATCCATTTGGAACTCGCAGCTGCAAACCCTGCAATGGGTGTGCAAGATAGACCTTGTCATCAACAACCGCCAAGAAGGGTGCCACAATTTTCGGTCCGGGAACATCCTCGTCCGAGAAAGCAAAATCCTCATAGGTCTCCTTTGCGCACCCCAAGCGAAAATGAAAGTGAAACGCTGAAATGGCAAACAACTGAAAGACTTCTTGAATTGCACTCCCATCAAACAGTCACTGCCCGTATCATAGCCCAGCCTCCTGATCGGCAGGGTCCTTGGCTCTCAAAGGGAATTGTTGCATAGTTCTTCCTGAAATAATGTCTAGATTTAGCCTAGTTAAGAGTCATTTTGGAGATGTCCTATTGAATGGGGCGTTTCATAGATGGTGTTTGGACAGCTAGACTAGATGACTAGATGCAGACGGAAGTCGGGAAGTCGGGAAACCACCTTTACGTTGGCCTTCTTCTTGGGAAGAGTCTTGCCGCTATTTGGTTTGTCGTTCCTTTTGGACATGACAGGGGCCGCAACGACCAGCCCCTCACTGGCCTTACTCATGCCCCTGAGCGGAACCATGCCCGCGGTCACAGAAGCTTGTGGACGTGTGCTTGAAGCACCTTTCACAATTTCCATCAGCTCCTCCTTGGGGACTCCCACTCTGCGATCTTTCAGCAGCTTCTCCACGATATTGTCCATCACACCCTCATCCTGGCTCAAAAACACAACTGACCAAGTTGAAAGGTGATTTGCTCCTGGTCAGCACACAAAAAACGATACAGTGTGACTGTATGTCTGTATCCTGTATATATGTATTTATATATTTAACATCTACAGACTTCATACTATAAAGAACACACTCCCGATCCTTCTTTGCTGAAGAAGACGCTGGGGCTTTGGCCCGCCTTGGGCTCCTCTCACGTTCGTCCAACCTTCAAAATGCATATCAGAAATGCTCTCTAAGACTTGCACTTAATGATTAGTTCTCAATTAGTGCTCAAATAAGGGCCAAGTAAGGGCAAGGGACTCAAAACCAAAGTGTCCAAATTGGATTCTCCCCAGCCTCCCACTCTGCGCAAAAGCCCTGACAACTGCAGGCAGGTCTGCTGCTTTCCCTGCGCGTTTTCCTTGTGGAAGCTTGTATGCGAAACCACCCAAGCTCGTGCCCTTTATCCTCCCAGCTTGTAGAAGAGCAAGCTGCCACTTCACATACTGCTTCATATTGCGGGGCGACCACTGAGTGTGATTCAGTGGGTCTCCCCGTCTGACGATCTCACTTTTGATGGCGCGGACCATGTCATTTTTGCTTTTCCTGGTTGCTCACGGAAGGGTTAGTTTAAATTCAAACTCAACAAAATTGTAAGCTTTGATAAGATGCAAATCAGATCAACGTGCTTTTTCTTTTTTGTTTGGCATTGCTCAACTGACTGAGGGCGTTTCCCTTGCTTCTTGTCGTTCATCGTCCACCCAGTCAGGAATGTCAAGATAGCAAAGATTGTGTCCTTCTCCAACCCCTCCAGAACCTTGCCCGTCAAGTACGGGTGGTCCAGGGCTAGTAGCCAGCCCACGACGTGGGAGACCTAGGCAAACAATTGCTACAGAAAAAAACGATTAAATGGCAGCACTGACCAGTTGAAATCCCTTTGAAACTTTGCGTCAACAGACGCGACTGACGGACAAGATGAAAGTCCTGAGGGCCTAGCGACAAAATCCCTGAACCTAACCTGGTGCTTGTAAGTCTCCACATTGGAGTTCCTCGAGCGATTAGATTCGCTCCGGAGGGCGGGGCGTCGCACATCATTCCCTCCGTCACCATCAGGCCACCTCAGTAAAGAATATTGACAGCGCACTGCTGCTTTCACACACCTTCAAATCAATGAAGTTACAGTAAGCTGTTTTTTTGAGTGTCATTAAACTGTGTCGCGGCGGTCATGTTCAAAATTTGTAGATAATATAGGCCACCACAAAATGACGTACATGTGTTTGAGTTAGGGCGCTCCATTGCCTCGGAATCCTCGTCGTTTTGTTCCTCATTTGATTCTGCTTCTGATTGGTCGTCAGCGTCAACGCTCAGACCCTCAACTTCGTCTTCCAAACTGTCCTCCGTATAGATTTCTTCCCGCGTGCGCTTCTTTCCCAATGCCATCAGATTCACTGTCGCCGGCAATCGCGGTAGGGCGGCAGCTTAAACCCCTAAATATCAAGGCTATCTCCCTGCCCTTGCTCCCCTTCCAAGATCCAGTCTATATGACTAATACTGCTCTAATTGGACTAGAATTAAATTTGACTTCATGTCATGCAAGCAGAACATATCAAAAGCAAATTGTGCAAATGCGCTCCCAATTGCTTTTAGATCTCAAATCTGGCTGACCAGTCTTTGCTGAGTGTGAAAAACTCGACATCTGACCTTCTCGGAGTAATGGATTGAGCACGTTCACTACATCACTACACGGCTTGGGGTGTTCTTAATTTGGACCTATTTAGACCTTACTTAGGGTGAGTTCTTCCAAAGAAATAAATC